CGGGGTTTCACTATGGTTGCCAGGCTGGTCTTGAATGCCTGACCTCATGATCCACCCGCCTCGGCTTCCCAAAGTTTAGGGATTACAGGCGTGAGCCACCGCGCCCAGCCAATACTGGCATTATTAATACAAAGCAGTATACTTTTACTGTTGCTAGTATGTTAAAAATGTAAAACTATCTAAAGAAAAGTAGGTATAATTTTTAGTATATATGTAATAATCAAGATTATGAAATAACTTGTATTCATATCAACAGTGGAGAAGAATTTTTTGTTATTGTACTCTGGTTTTGCACTGGATATTTAAATAAATTATGTTTAAGGTCAATGACTTGACAAAACAAAAATTAACCAGTAGGAAAGAAAACACACGAGTGAATATTTTATTAATATATAACGATTGTGTTTTGGGAGAATTTAATGTAAATTTGAATTTTGAGGATGCATTCTCCTCCTGTTTCTCTCACCTGCCTGCCCTCTGCTGGATTCCCAAAGCTTACTGAGTTATTAAGCAATCTTTCTAAATGTACTTAATAAAATTGCAGTTATAGAATAAGCTAAGGGAATTGTACACTAATGTTTCCTGTACTTTGTTTAAAAGTGTTACTAAAATGATTGATCATAGATTTTACTTTTTAAGTACTGATAGAGTTTCAGTTTCAGTCTCACAATTTACGAAAATATTAACATTAACAGCCTTTCCGTTTCATCCAGAAAGGTAATGTAGGTAATGTTACAATCATTCGAAATTTTTCAGCCTAGGAAAGCTGGGTGAGGTGGGAGTAGGGCAATGAGGAAATATCCAGTTTGGTCAATTTACAAATTAAAAAAGCACAGAGTAACTTAGTCTGTTGGATTAAAATTATAATCCCATGCTATCAAAATATAATTTTAAACATTATACTCAGAGAATAATATAAATGTACTTGATAATTTCTATTTATATAGCACTCATTATTTACCAAGTACCTTCTAAATACTTTACATATATCAACTCATTTAATCACCACAGCAACCTATAAGATAAGTATTATTACATGTCCATTTCTCAGATGGGGAAATGAAAGCATAGCGATGAAGTGACTTCAAGTTTGCCAGCTGGTAAGGGATGCAGCTGACATCAAAATCTAGACTCTGTTTTCCTAACCACTGTACTCTCCTGCTTCATCTCACATTACTGTTCAGAAAATTATTTGAATTACCGACTTACTGTCATCCTGATCTTAGAAATAACAACTCAAAATTCAGAGATGTTAGATGAATTTCCTAAGGTATGGGAATTACAAATGTTAATTGAATATCCTGAAAAGTGCAAAGATCAAAGATCCACCTGTCTTTTTTAGAAGGCTAGTTTCCATAAAGGAAGATAATTTTATAATTCCTATGGATTCTAAATGTCCTTTCTTTAATTGAGTTTTGTGATAGAAATGAATTATTTGATGTCCTGGAGCATCGTCTGTGGTAATTTTCATAGTTGTAGTGACATAATTCTATCTTAAATTTTATTAACTGACATAAAAGAGATGGAGTTGTATGCATATTTTGTTGATAGACACTCATGGAAGAGAGTGTTGACTGGAAACAGAAATCTTAAGCAGTCACTCGAATTTAAAAGGGGAAAAACAGTGGTCTTCTCGTCTCCAGAATTGCCTGGTGAATCCACAGAGTAGTTGGCCTCCTCTGTTGTTGTTTTCACAGCCCTACATTTCTGGTGACAATATTCTGGAGTGGGAAAAAAATTAAATGATTCAAAACTCAAATAATTGTTTCTCCCTCAAAGACCTAAAATTTGAGGTGATAAAAATGCCATTTTAAAACAATAGCTTTAAAAGGTAGTTGAGTTTTAGAAGTTAGGCAAAAGCAGCAGGCAGTGAAAGTAATGGGGTATTGTGCAGCAGACATCTTACAGAGGTCAGAAATCATGATGGGTGTTTGGGATGTGGGCATTAGATATGTTGGGATGTGGGAATCACAGTTGAGACTGGATATCGAAAGTATTGAGACATGGAAATGGAAGTTATGACTATGGGAATCAGGAACTTTGGGACACAGGAGTGAAAAATGGCAGGGGGAGGGTATTAACAATTTTAAGATTTATAGGAGTTCAGTTGTGGAAATGCAGATTTATGGACAGTGGATGAGCTATGAAAACCCAAGGTCAAGAATGGAAGTTGCAAACAGGCTTGTAATAATAAAGTATCTTATGTTGGATTAGACCTCCCACTGAAAACTATTATAAAAATAGGACACGTGTGTATGACAATTCTATCACATATATTAAATATATACAAAATTATGAGTAAATATGAATTATCAGCAATCATGCACGCACACACACACACACACACACACACACACACACACACACGACAGACAAGTATCTTTAACAACTAAAGGCAATAGAAAAGGCAGAACTTAAGTGGCCACAAATCTTGAAAGAAGGAAAGCACAAAAGGTAAGATTCAAATTTACCTTAGATTCCCCATTGCTCCTCCCCATCATCACCCCAAGGCATTTTCCAAGCGGTAGCAAGGAGTAACAGCTAAACAGAAAACAGCAGTCTCAATAGGCTAGGAGCAAAGACTGGAGTTTGGGAACAAGAGCAACTGAGATTTGAGGGACAAAATTCTAGAAAGAAAGAAACTTTAGAGATGTGAGTCCCCAAATTTGTGTCCGTTCCTAAGATATACATGCACATGAAGAGACTCTAAGAAATTCAGCAGAACAACAGTACCTAAAAAGCTCAACAAAGATTTCAGCAGCTACACAGGGCTGGAGAGACAGAGACTAGAGTTCAAGCCACACAAGGTGGAAGGATCTTGGCAAACATTCCAGGCTTTTGTTTTTTTGAGACAGATTCTTGCTCTGTTGCCTGGCCTGGAGTGCAGTGGTGCAATCACGGCTCACTGCAGCCTCTAGCTTCTGGGCTCAAGTGGTCTTCCCACCTCAGCCTCCCGAGTAGCTGGGACTACAGGCACATGATACTACACCAAGCTAATTTTTTGTATTTCTTGTAGAGATGGGTTTTCACCATGTTGCCCAGCGTGGTCTCAAACTCCTGGATTCAAGCGATCCACCTTCTCTGGCTTTCCAACGTGCTGGGATTATAGGCATGAGCCACCATGCCCAGTCACATTCTAGGCTTTTAGTTGAAAGACCTAGTAAGGACCCCATGGCCTAGGAGTAAGGTCAAAACTGAAGTTAACCAGAATTTAAAAAACTCAATGATCCACTGGTACTCTTGTCTGTCTACTACAACAAGAAAACTTAGCCCTCTTTGGAGAAACCTGCTATCACCCAGAGCCTCTACAAATTTTCTTCTACATCGTTTGAATTCAACAACAAAATCTAAAAAAAAAAAAAAAAGGATGCTTAAAAAAAAAAAAAAAAAAAAGGATTGCTTTAAAAAAAAAAAAGAAAAGAAAAGAAAAAAAAAAGGGCCAAGCACCAAAAACCCAGGAAGACTCAGATGATTCAGATATTGGTGTTAACAGATAAGGGCTTTAAATAATACAGCTAAAATGTTTAAGAAAATAGAGATAAAGAATTTCATCAAAGCCTTGGAATCTATTTTTAAAATGTGAGAGAAAGAGGAAGCATAAAAATTTCAACTTTCTAAATGAAAATTCTAGAACTGAAAATACCATAACTAAAACTAAGAATTCAATAGAGGGGATGTATAGCAGCTCAGACACAGTAGAACAGAGTTTCTATGGAATGGGCAGCAGGCAAATAAAAAATACAGAAGAGAAATAAGGAATATAGCAAAAAGTTATACATGTAACTGAAGTTCCAGAATGGAGAGAGAGAGAGAGAGAGAAAGAAAGAAAGAGAGAGAGAGAAGGGGACAGATGCAACATTTAAAGAAATACTGACCAAGATTTTTCAAAACTTGATGAAAAAGATCACATTCACACTTAAAGAGCTTTATGAATCCCAAGCAGGATAAGTACAACACACACACACACACACACACACACACACACACAAACTTAGCGACATCAAGCACAAAGTGCTGAAGACAAAAAAAAAAAGAAAAAAAAAAAGAGAAAAATGTTCAAGTAGCTGAGGATGGAGGTGAAAGACAGGATCAACAATTAGACTCATGGCTGATTTCTCAATAGAAACAATGACAACCAGAAGACAATGAAAAGATATTTTTAAAATGCTGAAAGATTAAAAAAAAAGCCAATGTGAAATTCTATACCCAGCAAAACTATCCTTTAAAAAATGAAGGTGAATTAAGATGATTTTATGTTAACAAAAGCTGAGAGACTTTGTTCTTAGCAGACCCAAATACAAGAAGTGCTTAAGGGAGTTTCCCTCTTAAATACTAAAGTACAGTGCTCCCAAATGGAACTGTTGAACTTGAAGAAAAAATGAAGAACATCAGAAAGCAGTGACTTTGACCCACTTCTGTTCCAGTAAATTCTCATTGCAATGGAATCATTTGGTGTAAAATATAAGTTCATATTAAACAAAATGCAGACAAAGAATAAGAGGTAAAGCTTGAATGTTACAACTTAATAGCATGTAGACATGGTCAGCTTAATTTTAACCAAAATCAAGTTAAAAACGTTGTTAAGCAACAATGGTATTTGGGCCCTGGGAGTCAGGGGTCAAGGGCAACAGCTGGCATGTGGGAGTCAAAGGTTATGGCTTGTGTGTGTCTGTGGTTCGCGGCTGTTAGGAGACAAGAAAATCTCTGGAGATGCAGGGGTCGGGAGCCATGGGCAGTAGTTGTATTTTGAGGGTCGGGGTAAAGAGAGCCTTTGGAAGACTTGTGAGTCAGGGTCCACGGCTGACAGGTGGGTCGTGGTAGTTGTGTCAAAGGGCAGAGGTTGGAGGTCATGACCCACCAACACGCGCCGGTTGAAACCTGAGCGCAAAGGGCGGTTGAGATTCCCGGAGGACACGCCCCTATCGGCCCCGCCTCGCGCCCCGCCTCCGTCGCCCCGCCCCATCCCTCCCAGCCCCGCCCCATCCCTCTCAGCCCCGCCCCTCCAGCGCTTCGAATGCGGACGCCGAGCGTGGCTGAGACTGTGAGGGGCGAGCGAGCGCTGGCGAGCGGCGCAGGGACCCCGCGGGCGGCTGGGGCTTCCGCGGCGCCCGCCCCCGCTCCCTCCCCTCGGGCGCTGGGTGCAGACCGGCCGGCCGGCGCCGCCTCCTGGGAAGATGGCGCTGCACTTCCAGGTCAGTGCGCTCTGCGCCGCGGGCCCGCGCTCCGCCGCCCTGGGAACCCGGCGGGACGCGGGGGTCTGGAGACCGAGGGCCGAGGACAGCGGCGGAGGCCGCAGGGCCGTGGGTCGGTGTCCCCGGAGTCCCAGCCCCTGCCTCTGCCCCTAGCCGGGGACCGGGACACTGGTCTGGGCTGCACACCCCAGGCCCTGGCCGGAGCCCGAGAAAGGGGCGGCCGAGCCTGGGTTGGAGGCGGCGGGTGGAGGGGGTGGGGGCAGGCCCAGGGCTCGCTCCGGGGAAGGTGCGGACGCCGGCGGCACGCGCGCTGACCGCGGCTTCAGTGGCGCCGGGGCAGGTGGGAGTCCCAGCTGGGCCGGCTTTGGCGCGCCTCGCGCGGCTGCCGAGCGGAGGAGCAGCCTTCCCGCCTTCCCGCCGCGTCGCCGGCGCGGCTCTGTCGTCAGCCTCCCTCCACACAGTTGAACCCGAGCCCGAGTGGGGGCTTGGGATCCACGGAAGGAGCGGCGGCAGCAGTTGGACTTTAATTGGCTAGAGGAGACGGGGGCTGCGTCTGGGGGAAGTTGCGAGGGAGGGCCCCGCGGCCGCCTTTTTGGAGGAGGAAACCCGAGCCGGGCGCGGGCGCAAGGATCGCAGAGGGTACGAAGATGGGACGCGTGCTTGTATATCCTCGGGCTGCTCTGAAATCCCCTTTCAGTTATTCAGCAAACATTTATTATCTCCCCGCCGTGCCTCAAGCACTGTGGAAAGTTCTGGGGTTGAAGGATGACATCTTACTGTCCTCGCCCTCATACAGTTCACAGAGAATTACAGTACAAGTGAAAAATGTATGGTAGAAACAGTCACAGTATCATGGGAGCACAGAAAAGGGGGCAGCCAGCCAAACGTGTATGTTGAGAAAGAGTGAAGCAGAGCTGCTATGCTCTCAGCTAAGAGATGCTTTAAGTTTCTTTGAGCCTCCATTCTTCCATTTATTAATTATTGAGTGCCTACTATGTTAGGCGCTGAAGATACAACAGCTCTGAACAAAACTCTATGGTTTATACTCAGGGAACTTGCAGTCTACTGGTCCTTGAAAGAATCGGAGGTGTTTGCCAGGTGAAGAGAAAGGGAAGGGTATGGAGGTAGAAGGACAGTGTGAGCCAAGGCAAAGAATTGTGGAAGAACATGGTGTACTGCAGAAAGTTAAGTTTGGTTGGGACAAAGGGATGGGACCGGGGAGGCAGTCGGTGACAGGAGATGACCCCGGAGAGTGAAGGGAATTTCATAATATGGTGACAGTGTATCTAAGAATCTCATTCCCCTTGTAGACTTCTTCGAACCCCTTGTGATCACACAGACTTATAATTTGGCTGATTTATTGATTCTTTTAAAGGGTCTTTTTTTTAAAACCAGTTACTGTCTGGTAATCGACAGTTCTAGGACGTTATGTAGTAAGCCCCACACATTACCTTTTGACTTCGTGCCATTTCTAAGGGTCCTCAGGTCAAAATAATGTATTACCACTTTAATAAATGTGCCCTCTGGGAAATTTTCACAGGAAGAATCTTACAAGGAGGATTTATGGATTGTAAATAGGTAATCAGATGTTCACAGAGCCCGTGTAAATCTTGAGAGTAAATTAAAAGGTATGGTGGAACTTTGGAATTTTTTCATACATGGAAAGATGATGTATAGTAAATCACCAAGTCCTGGAAGACTTCTTCTTATCTAGGCACAGTGTTGGAAAAATTAGCTGCTGATGTCGAAACTACCCATATTGGTTTTGCAGGAATGTACTTCACAGTACATTCCTGTAGACAGCTTAGAAGTGGAGTTGGACAAATATAAGATCAGACAGTTTTGTTGACTAGAAAAAAACTGAAATTTCTCCGTTTGAATTATTTTTAGCATATTGGATCATATTGTTAATCAGTTAACTCAAGGAACATTTGTTATTAGTGATAACCGATACCTAGCATTTTGAGTTTTCGTATCCTCACTATAGAGTTGAGCCCTGCCACTAACTTAAAAAGTGTGCATATATACATTTTATTCTGAAGACACTGAGTCTTAAAACAGTTGTGACTTCCCCAACATTACAGAGTTAGTAGGCCTAATAACTTACAAGTTCCGTGTTCCCCATTACCTCTGTCTTACTGTCACCTACCCAAAGGGACAGCTAGGCAAAAATTATGCCATCAAGATGATGAGTAAAGAAGCAGATTTGTGTAGAGTGAGGTTAGGGTACTGGTCAACATCTTTTTCACATCATGACATACATAAAAAATGTTAATTATGTGTCCCATTAACATAAACCGCTCATTGCCAAAGGCCATCAGTGTGCACTTTCCCCAGTGTCTCAAGCCCTGCCCCTGCTGCCTGGAGAGCAGAGGGATCAATATCTCAGGCATACCTGTGAATCATTCAAAGCAGTTGCATTCTGGTTAGGAAGCTGTGAATTAGGATACCCTGTCCCAAAAGAATTAATGGGTCTGGATTCCCTGACAGGAGGCAATCCAGATAAGGGGGCAGAGTGAGGAAAGAGATAGAATTGAGAACAAGTAAGAGGTAGGCACTTTAGATAGAACAGAGGTACCTTGATGAGAATCGAGAGAATGTTAGGAAAAATTTAAGGGACTCAGTTGATCCAACCTTTTTGCTCAGGCCAGGCGCGGTGGCTCACGCTTGTAATCCCAGCACTTTGGGAGGCCGAGGCTGGTGGATCATGAGGTCAGGAGATCGAGACCATCCTGGCTAACACAGTGAAACCTCGTGTCTACTAAAAATACAAAAAATTAGCCAGGCGAGTGGCAGGTGCCTGTAGTCCCAGGTGCTCTGGAGGCTAAGGCAGGAGAATGGTGTGAACCTGGGAGGTGGAGCTTGCAGTGAGCAGAGATTGCGCCACTGCACTCCAGCCTGGGCGACAGGGCAAGACTCTGTCTCCAAAAAAAAAAAAAAAAAAAAAGATGGGGCACTTAAAGTGGAAAGCTTGTTCAATTCTGTTTGTGACATTTTTGGCTGATTACATCTTTCTAGATTTCCAAGAGAAAGAAATTTGTACACAAATACAAAGAGGGTGAACAGACAGGGCTAAAAATATGGACTGCCGGGCATGGTGGTGTGTGCCTATAGTTCCAGCTACTTGGGAGGCTGAGGTGGGGGGATCACTTGAGCTTAGGAGTTCTGGGCTGTATTGTAGTGTGCTCCACCGATCAAGTGTCTCCACTAAGTTCAACATCAATAATATTGACCTCCCATCAATATGGGAATGGGAGACCACCAGGTTGCCTAAGGAATGATGAACTGGCCCAGGTCGGAGACAGAGCTGGGCAAAACTCTAGTGCTGATCTGTAGTGGGACCGTGCCTGTGCATAGCTACTGCACGCCACCCTGGGCAACATAGCAAGACCCTGTCTCTTGAAGTATGGACTAGGACATCATCTCCAGGTGGATGATGATGGAAATAAAGAGTGGCAATTTGGGCAGGTTGGGGGGAAACAACATGCATTTGGGGTCTGTAGACTTGTATTTGACTCAGAATTTGATTATCTCTAAACTTGAGGAATTTATATATATTTGATCTCAGCTTCAGTTTTTTAAACTGCAGAGTAAATATACTGAAAATACATACTTCACAAGAGCCTATTTTTCAGGGTTGGTTTGAAAAAAGGGTGGAAATACTTTTGTAAACTATAAAGCACTAAAACAAATATTATCTATTTCATTGTAAGAAGGAAGAATTCCAAGAGATCCAGATAAAAGCCTTCAGGGATACTCAGGAAAAGGTAGTAAGAGGAAGAAAAAAGAGTTTGTGGGAAATGAGTAACTTCAAAATGAAGGCAGTTTCTGTTTATTGTAATCAAGAAGCTTAATTCCAGAAGGTAGGAAAGATACAGGAAAGTAATTGACAAGATCTTTAAATTCAGTTGAAGTGGATTTTTGTGGCTTATTTATGTTTTACTATTAGGGAACATTTATTTCGTGAAACAAAAGCGTTTATTCTCTTTTTTCAGCTTTACTGAAGTACAACTGATAATAAAATGTGTATATTTAAACTGGGCAATTGGATGGGTTTTGACATATGTATACATCTGTGAAATTGTCACCAAAATCAAAAAAATGAACATATGCATCCCCCCAAAAGTTTCCTTGTGCTCTTGTGCCCTTTTATAATCTGTCTTTGCTGTGCCCTTTTTCCCCCACTCCTCTGCTGTCTTCCCTCCCAGCCAGGAAATCACTGATCTGCTTTCTGTTTATTAAGAACCATACAATATATACTTTCCAGCATTCACCTGTTGATAGTCACATGTGTGGCTGCTTTTACTCAGCATTCACCTGTTGATAGTTACCTGTGTGACTTTTTACTTGCTATATAAAAAGAACTCCTCATTTAGGGGCCATTTCTGTGTCAGGCACAAAGGCCAGAAATAAGTCCAGAATGAATTGGAAGACCCTTATTTAGACTATGGTCAGGATTACATCATTGTCTCCTAGGGTGTGAAAGTTGGATGCTGTCTGTTTTTTGTGTGTGTGGTTTTTTAAGACAGGGTCTTGCTTTGTCACCCAGGCTGGAGTGTAGTGGTGGGATCTTGGCTCGCTGCAACCTCTGCCTTCCATGCTCAAGAGAGCCTCCCACCTCAACCTCCCAAGTAGCTGGGACTACAGGCATGTGCTGCCACACCTGGCTGATTTTTTTTTTAATTTTTTTTATTTTTTGAAGAGATGGGGTTTCGCGACGTTGGCCAGGCTGGTCTCGAACTCCTGAGCTCAAACAATTCACCCACCTTGGCCTTCCAAAGTGCTGGGATTACAGATGTAAGCTACCATGCCTGGCCTGTTTATATGTGACAGTTACTCTGTGGGAGGTAAATGATGTCCAGTTCTCTTTGTTTTACCTCTTAGTTATTTATATGGCTTCTAATGTTATCATTAAGACTTGTAGAAGCTTTAAAAACTCAAACCTGATTTGTCAACAAATTGAGAAGGGATCCATTTTTCTGAGACCATTCTCATATTAA